GCGGCGGCGTTATGTCTAGCCTGTGCTCGCAAGTGTTTAATTTTCCTATCAACGTCTTCGGGGGGAACAGTTGACGGTAATGGAGTACATTGCATATTTTCTTCGTTATTTGCTTCGAAGATGCTACTATCGTACGATACGGGAGAGTAATTTCTCCTAACGGTAACTCGTTCGACGGATGTATGATTTACATCAGGTCCGTCTACTTCTACTATGTTATTATTATTATTAGGAGGGAGTGTTTTCCGCTACTTGATTTATTTCACGCGAGATCCTAATTCAGGTGAATTCTCGCCTGAATAATGGTTATCTAAATTTCTCTGTACGTTATTGTGAATGTCGCAGGCCGCTCCTTCTATTATTTGTACGGGGGTTATAAAGCCGAATCTATTTGCTAGTCGCGGTCGATGGAACGTAACCCGTTTCGGTTGTGCTGACATTCACGCTATTTTATTGTACAATTTTTTGACTTACAATATAACGATGATACGCATTCTTCTTTCACTTACTCGTTGTTTCTGCACGGTCAGCTGTGGTTGGATCGCTCGGCGGTGCACGTTGCTGTAAGTCAGCGTCGGTGAGTTTTCCGTTGCACGGGCAGCGTTCTCGGTTTGCTACGATCGACTAGTTGCTGGGCGTTGCGTTGAATTGCTTCTTCCTTCACGCATCAGCTTCTTGTCACGTTCTTCTTCCGGGTCTCTCAGGCACTGACGATTTTTTGGCTCGCACTTGGTGCTGATTTGCTTAATTTGTCAACCGATTTTTGTTACCGATTACTGTCTCGAAATAGTTGGGCGTATCCCAGTATATTCTTATTGGTCCTTTAGCTGGACCAATCCTACCGCTGCCAATTTTGTTGTGCCTCTCCGGATACAACGGGAGTTTGGAGATGGTTTAAGGGTTCGGTTTGTCTTAGGAGTTGGGACTCCGAGTGTCGAGAAACACGAGACAAAGGTTCCGTGCAATAATGATTTATTTGTACAGCTTACGTATTGCAAAGTTCGGCTCGGTGATGCTTCGGCGATGTAACAATATCGGCGCTTGCAGAATCCCACAGTTTCTTCAAGTATACGCGTCACCACTTAGTTTCGGAATACGGCCCCGAGGTACTCGTTATCTCACTTTTTATGGTCCGAAAGTAGGTGATTTTTCGGTACTAGGTCGCGATGTCTTAATTGCATATTGCAACGAATTGCATATCTTGCATTTAATCGCGGTTTTGGGAGCGCGCGCAACAGCTTATGAAGTGCTAAATTTGCGCTGTGCTCCTTTTTTACTTTTATAGGTCGTAATTACGTTATTCGATTTCGAGTTACGACAAGTTGATTATGTGCTATCAATTTATAATTAACTCGAAATAAAGTAGAATTCCTTTAATTCTTGAAAAGCTCATTTTATACATGCACAATATATAATTCAAAAGAATGTTTTATGTGAATTTTTAATAGTATAAAACAGTGCTCGGATTTAGTTGAACATTTCGGGCCAAAATCGGAGGCGCCGCCTATCGTTGCCGTTGCCCTGACTACCGTTTGAGGTTCGACGGCCGAGCCGCCGAAATCGCGCGTGCAATGCTATGCCTCAGGAGTTTCCCTATATGAAAAATATGCTGGAATCGTACCTTCCGCCAAATTATCATTAAAATTTGCTTTACTTGATAATTTTTATAAATTTCTATTATTAATATATTATATATGCAATCTATTATACACATATATATTATATATGTTATAATAATATATTTTAGAGACAGTAATATATATATAATAATTATAATTTTGATAATAGCTTTCCACATCACCCATGAGGTACTATTGTCGATGCGTTTTTTTTTAAGTGGTTTCCCCAGTAGGCCTATTCCACTAAGGAAGAATAATCCGTTTGCGTACATATATATATGGAAAGGAAAAATTATATTAAAGATGAGAAAATAAAAGAGTGGAATAGGCCTACTGGGGAAACCACTTAAAAAAAAACGCATCGACAATAGTACCTCATGAGTGATGTGGAAAGCTATTATCAAAATTATAATTATTATATATATATTACTGTCTCTAAAATATATTATTATAACATATATATTATATATGTATATAATAGATTGCATATATAATATATTAATAATAGAAATTTATAAAAATTATAAAGTAAAGCAAATTTTAATGATAATTTGGAGGAAGGTACGTTTCCAGCATATTTTCCATATAGGGACACTCCTGAGGCATAGCGTTGCACGTGCGATTTCGGCGGCTCGGCCGTCGAGCCTCGAACGGTAGTCAGGGCGGTAAAAGTGACGTTTAGCGGATGCAGCCCCGATGAACTTGACCTTGACATATGTTGTCAAGGTCACCCTCCTGAGTGACCTTCAGAAAGTTTTAGCCGTCGCTCGTTTTTTATTAAAAAGTTATTAACTAAAATATTATTTTAAAGATAGAGAAAAATTAAATTAAAAATAGGTTTGGGTTAGGTTATTCCTTCCGGAAGTGGAGCCCCCCCGTAGGGTGGCGGAACCCACTGTTTTATGCATACACTTTTTAATGCGAAGTGAGGTTCCACATGGGTTTACAACTTTTCACGCAAAGCGAGATTCAACTCATGTACAACCCATGTAGAATCTTATTTTGCTTTAAAAAGTGTATGCATGGACATAGTAGGTTCCGCCCCCCTACGGGGGTCTCCACTATCAAAGAACTAGACACATTGGTTTGCGTTGAACCTCGCTTCGCGTGGAAAGTTGTAAACCCATGTGGAACCTCACTTCGCATTAAAAAGTGTATGCATAAAACAGTGGGTTCCGCCCACCCTACGGGGGGACTCCATTTCCGGAAGAAATAATCTAACCCAAATCTATTTCGATAATTATTCAGAATAACGGCTCCACCTGCAACTGGGCTGCAAATTTTTTTACGGACTTTTTATGTTTAGAAAGAAATATAAATAACTATTTTTAGTTTGGGGAGGCCCAAAAAAAAGTTATAGACCAAAAAAGGATAATGATGGTAATTATTTCGAATAAGGCTATTTCTAAATTTTGACAAATATGATCGGATCTCTCGGTAAAACTCTTTGTAGTGACTTCAACAGTGATAATCAGTTGGGGAAGCACGTCCCCCATCACTCCCAACCCCCCCAAAAAACCGAAAAACCACAAAAATTACCAAAGCAAAGCGAGGTCCACCTCACAACCCAAACCAAATTTTAGTTTTTAATCAGAAATAGGTTTGGGTTAAGTTATATCTTCCGGAAGTGGAGCCCCCCGTACGGGGGGGGGGGCGGAACCCACTGTGTCCAAGCATATACAAGCATATACAATATAAATATTTACAAAGCAAAGCGAGGTCCACCCCACAATTGTTGTGTGGATGGGAAAGTGTATGCGTGGACGCATATTTCTGATTTAAAACTAAAATTTGGTTTGGGTTGTGGGGTGAACTTTATAGTACATAATTACCTAATTTTCGATCATTTTTGGGGTTTTTCGTTTTTTGGGAGTGGGGTGATGGGGGACGGGCTCCCCCGACTGATTATCACTGTTGAAGTCACAACAAAAAGTTTTACAGAGAGATCCGATGATATTTGTCAAAATTCAGAAAAGACCTTATTCGAAATAATTACCCTTTGACAACATATGTCAAGGTCATCGGGGCTGCATCCCCTAAACGTCACTTTTACCTATATTATACAGGTTTTATAGGGCTAACTGTTCTGGTTTTCGAGATATGCAGTGTTAAAGTCAAAAATAAATAACATGGATTTTTAAATAATACTTCGGTTTTGAAAGCGAGGTCCACCCCATACCGTCTCCTGCTTACAGGGCGAAACGAGGTCTGTCATTGTATGGTTCGACATGGGTTTGCAACTTTCCCCGCGAAGCGAGGTCCTCCCCACACCGGCAGAGCTGCCAGTTCGTGGGAAATGGGAGCTCCCACCACTTACCGCTGGACTTACTAACACAGACGTAGTCGCTACGTCATAGCGTGTACGTGTAGCTTCGTGCGTGGGGGCAGGCTACGAACAGCACTGAGCGATCACGAAAACGTTCGCCGCTCGATGCAATATTAAGAAAAAAAAAATAAGCTTTTGTTGTAGGATTTTGAAAAATTGAAAGCAAATTATTTGCAGCACGAACGTTCTCAGATATTTGTTCCATCAAAAAATTTCCTAATACATCTCACATTTCTAAAATTCTTTGAATGCATTTGTAACGTGTTAACCAACGTGTTTCTGAATATTTTAAAATATTCAAAGATTTATCTTTGAAGCACATCTAGAAATTTCGGAAAATAGCAGTTCTGTTTGGATTGCTGTTAATAAATTGTGGAAATGCCTTTAATAAAATGCTCACAATGTTGAGGAATTGTTTTATATAATGAACCGTGTTATCATAGGAGATTCACGTCGGAAATGTTACTTATAAAAAAAACAGAGAATTAGTTTGAACTTGCAGAGCGAATTATCGGATCATTAAATTCTTCCTATTTTCCCATTATTAAAAAGCTAAAAAAGTTCTAAATTAACCGGCACTGATGATTTGTTTTTCTCATCATGTTCGTGTTTGCCTTGTTGTTCTTATTTCATTGTATTTTGTTTATTTTATATTTTATTTTCATTTATTTTATTTATTTATTTTATTTTTGACTTCCGGTTGGACGGTGAAAGAATGCACATGTGGGAGAGAGACTCTGAGAGAGATAAGCAAATAAAAAGTTAAAAAAGCGGATAGGAGACAAAAGGGTGGAAGAGGAGAGTAAGAAGGAAAAAGAGAAAGGAAAGATAAAGGACTCGAGAAGTTGTGATCGGAGTGGCCGGATAATAGTGGAAGAAAAAGGTGAGAGATTGAGGTTAGAAGTAGAGCAGAATAGTGGCTAGGGAAAAGTGCGAGAGAGAGGTAAGGAAAGCGGTTAGAAGGGGATATCAGACACGATAGATGGCGCTAAGAGGCAGACCGGCAGGCAGCAAGAATAAGATAAAGGAGAATACACTAGATACAATGTTAAGAGAAGATAAAGGAGAGAAGAAAAGAACAGAGAGGGCAGAAGAGAAGGAGGGCACGATGCAAGAGCTGATGCAGATACTAAAAGAAGAATGGCTAAGCATGTTTAGAGAAGAAATAGGAAGCCTAAAGAAGGAAATGAAAGAAGAAAGAAAAGAGTGGGAACAGATGATACAGCAAGAAAGAGACGAATGGAGAAATGAAAAAGAGGATTTACAGGAGAGAGTAGAGAAACTGGAATGGGAGAAAGAAAGAAGGGACAGAGAAGAGAAGAGAAAGAACATAATAATCAGAGGGTATAATTTCGAAGAGAAAGAGTTGAAAGGCGAGGTAGAAAACTTTCTGACAGTTAAACTAAAAGTGGAAACAAAAGTCCGAAGCGCACAAAGGCTGAATACGAGAAGAGGCGGAAGTGGAAACAAGATAGTACTAGTGAAATTGGAGGAATGGAAGAATAAGAGGAAGATAATGGAGAAAAAGAAGGAGTTAAACAGAGGAATATACATAGAAGACGATCTAACCTGGAAGAAGAGAGAAGTACAAAAGAGGTTGAGAGAGCTAGCATGGGAACACAAGAAAAACGGAAAATCGGCGGAAGCAGGATATTTCAAGCTATGTGTGGAAGGAAAGTGGTTTCGTTGGGATGAAAGAAGAGGAAGCTTAAAAGAGGAAGAAGTGAGAAGAGCCTGAGAGGAGCACGGATGGGATGGCGGTGCAGGAGGAGAAGAGGGAGTAGGAGGTCAAGGAGGTCTAAAGATATGTTTTTGGAATGTCTCAGGCCTAAACAACAAGTGCGAGGAAGTGTGGGAATACGTGGAAAGGTTTGACATGGTAGGGTTAACAGAAACATGGTTAGACGACAAAGGATGGAAAACATTAGAGAAGAATTTAGCGAAAAAGTTTAGGTGCTCATATGTGCCAGCCACGAGGGAGCACAGGAAAGGAAGAGCGAAAGGAGGACTGGTGGTGGCGGTTAATAAAGAATTGGAAATAGTAAGGCAAGAAAGTTATGGGGAGGGAATATTAGAGAGTCAAATAGTATACAATAAGAAGAATTTGAGAGTAGTGACAGTGTACTGCAGAGAAATAAAAGAAGTTTTTGATGTACTCGAAGAGAAGATAGAAGAAACAGGAGAAGAGAGTTTGATTATAGGAGGAGACTTCAACGCAAGGACAGGTACAGAAGACGGACTAATAAGGGATGAGAAGGATGAGATAAACAGAAGGAGATCAAGGGACATGGTGATAAACAAAAAAGGAAGAGAGATGCTGGCAAGAATAGAAGAGAAAGGATGAGTGATAATGAACGGGAGTAAAGGAGAGGAAAGCGAACTATGGACATATATAGGAGGAAAGGGAGCGTCAGTAATAGATTACGTAGTGGCAAACGAGAGGGCGGGGGAGGACATCCAAGGAGTGAGAATCGGAGACAGAACGGAATCGGATCATTTACCGATAGAGGTGACAATTCAAGGGCCAACAGTAGGAGGAAGAGAAGAGGATGAGGAAAAGGAGGCAGTGGTCAAATGTGATTGGTCACAGGAGGGGATAGAATTCTACCGCAAGGAAATCGAGGGCTGGAGGCATAACGAGACAGGAAAGGAGGCGCTTTGGCAGGAGATAAGGAACAAGATAAATCCAACCCACAAGTCCACAAAGAAGATAAAGGTGAAGAAAGGAAGAGTCTTAGGAAAAAAGAGATGGTTTAACGCAGAATGGAAGGAAAGGAAAAGGTCACTAAGGAAGGAACTAAGAAAATGGAGGAAAGGAAAGTTGTCTAGGGAAGAGTATGTAAAGAAGAAGAAGGAATATAAGAGGTGGTGTAAAGAAGAAAGGAAGAGACAAGAAAAGGAGGAAGAAAAAAATAGAAAAAATTAAGACAGAGACGGAGGCCTGGAGATACATTAATAAGTTTAGGAAGAAGAGGAACAGATTGCAGAGCACAACTGACATAAAAGAGTGGAAAAGGCATTTCATGGATATGCTAGAAGGAACAGAAAAAAAGACGGGTATGGAACGGAGAAGAAAAGAGGAAGAAGAAGAGGAGGAGGAGAAGGAGAAGGAGGAGGAGATTAAAAGAAATAATGGAGGGATAGACAGGGCAGAGGTGAAAGCACAGGTGAAAAAGTTAAAAAGAGGGAAAGCAGCAGGAGAGGACGGGATCAACAACGAAGCGTGGATATATATGAAGGAAGAGATAGAAGAGCCTTTAATCAAAGTTTTGGAGAAAGTGTGGGAAGAAAAAAGCATGCCAGAAGATTGGAAGAAGGGGTTTATATACCCAATATTTAAGAAAGGAGACACTAAGGAGGTCAAAAATTATAGAGGAGTTACACTGTTGGATACGAGCTACAAGATATACGCAAGTATACTAAATGAGAATCTGAAAGAGGAAATGAAAGAGAAATATGAGGAGACACAGTTTGGATTTAGGAAAGGTAGAGGGACAAGCGACGCTATATACTTGTTGAACTTCATGGTACATAGAGAGCTGAGGAAACCAAGAGGGAAAGTGTTTGCGTTCTTCGCGGATCTCAAGTCGGCGTTTGACAAGGTGGACCGAGAAATTTTAAACAAGAGAATGAAGAAGACAGGGATAACCAACAGGCTAAGAAACAGAATAATGGAGATTTATAAAGAAACGAAGAATACAATTAGAATAGGAAAGGAAGAAAGTGAGATCTTTTGGACGGAAAAAGGAGTCAGACGAGGATGTCCCATAAGCCCAACGCTGTTCAACATCTATATAGGGAATCTAGAAGAGGATATGAGAAGAGGACAGATCGGGGGAATAAAGGTAAACAGAGAAAAAGTTTGGTCCCTAATGTATGCAGATGACGCTGTTGGATACGAGTTGACAAGGTAGACCGAGAAATCTTAAACAAGAGAATGAAGAAGACAGGGATAACCAACAGGCTAAGAAACAGAATAATGGAGATTTATAAAGAAACGAAGAATACAATTAGAATAGGAAAGGAAGAAAGTGAGATCTTTTGGACGGAAAAAGGAGTCAGACGAGGATGTCCCATAAGCCCAACGCTGTTCAACATCTATATAGGGAATCTAGAAGAGGATATGAGAAGAGGACAGATCGGGGGAATAAAGGTAAACAGAGAAAAAGTTTGGTCCCTAATGTATGCAGATGACATCGTTTTGTTGGCAGAAACGGAAGGACGGAAGAAAGACATGATAAAAAGGTTTAGAAAATACCTGGAAAGAAAGAAATTAACACTGAGCGCAGAAAAATCGAAGGTGATGGGGTGATGGTAAGGAAGAGGAAAGAAGAAGGAGAGGAGCTGGACGTGGAGGGAGGAAAAGATTGAGGAAGTGAAAGAGATAAAGTATTTAGGATACATTTTACAGAAGAATGGAGGACCAGAAAAACAGATAAGAGAAGGTTACAGGAAAGCTATGGTGGCGATGAAGAACACATGGAGCATAGGAGAGAGAATTTTCAACAAAGACTTTGGAAGAAGAATAAAAATGTTTAACGCATTAGTGAACAGCGTAGCATTATATGGGGCAGAGCAGAGGTGTGGGTACAGAGACGAAAGGATGGATAGGATACAGAGAAAGTACGTGAAATGGATTCTGGGTCTGGAGAAAGTAACACCCAATCCAATCCTGGAGGATGAATGTAAATTGATAAATATAAGTCTGAGAGGTATAAAGAGCGGTAAGATATGAGGAAAAAGCTAGAACTTCCGACAAGAAGATAATTAAAGACTGCATGATAGAGATGGATAAAAGGATCGGAGAAGGAGAAGTCAGCAGATGGGAGAGAAAGAGAAGGGAGAAACTGGATTGGGCTGGAATAAGTGAGCGAGAATTGAAGAAAATAAGGGAAGAGGAGAATGGAGAAACAGCAGAGGAGAAGATTGGGAAGGGCATAATGGAAAGAACAGAGGAAGAGAGAACTAAGAGAATAGAAAAATCAAGGTACAACGAGTTATATAAGGAAATCAGAGGAGACACGATCCCAAAATACTTAGAGGACAGGAGAAAGGCAAAGGATAGGAGTGTGATAGCAAGATTTAGGACAGGGAATGAGATGAATGCGAGACTACATTGGATGAAACAGGAAGATAAGATGTGCAGGATATGCGGAGAAAAAGAGGAAAAGGTAGAACATGTTATACATGAATGCGTGGAGACAATAAGTATAAGACAGAACTTATTTGACGAGGAAGGAAAAGGATTAGAACAAATGAAGGAAATAGTAGAAAGAAGAAAAGAGGTAGAGAGACGAAGGGAAGAGAATGCAAGGGAGAAAGATTAATAGGCATAAGGAAGATATATAGAGATATATAGAGCAGAATAATATAAAGGGCAGTGCAAAAAGAAAAGCAAAGACTGTAATACCTAGGTTACATTGAGATGTATATTTATATTATATTATGTTTATGTTTATGTTTATGTTTACGTTTATATCTATATCGAGATTGTGATTTTGATTTTGATTTGAATTTTAATTTAACTGTTAAGGTAATAATGCAAAGAACAAAGAATTTAGAAATAGGCTGAAAGGCGGGGTAGAAAACTTTCTGACAGTTAAACTAAATGTGGAAACAAAAGTCCGAAGCGCACAAAGGCTGAATACGAGAAGAGGCGGAAGTGGAAACAAGATAATACTAGTGAAATTGGAGGAATGGGAGGATAAGAGGAAGATAATGGAGAAAAAGAAGGAGTTAAACAGAGGAATATACATAGAAGACGATCTAACCTGGAAGAAGAGAGAAGTACAAAAGAGGTTGAGAGAGCTAGCATGGGAACACAAAAAAAACGGAAAATCGGCGAAAGCAGGATATTTCAAGCTATGTGTAGAGGGAAAGTGGTTTCGTTGGGATGAAAGAAGAGGAAGCTTAAAAGAGGAAGAAGTGAGAAGAGCCTGAGAGGGGCACGGCTGGGATGGCGGTGCAGGAGAAGAAGAGGGAGTAGGAGGTCAAGGAGGTCTAAAGATATGTTTTTCGAATGTCGCAGGCCTAAACAACAAGTGCGAGGATGTGTGGGAATTCGTGGAAAAGTTTGATATGGTAGGGTTAACAGAAACATGGTTAGACGAAAAAGGATGGACAACATTAGAGAAGAATTTAGCGAAAAAGTTTAGGTGGTCATATGTGCCAGCCACGAGGGAACACAGGAAAGGAAGAGCGAAAGGAGGACTGGTGGTGGCGGTTAATAAAGAATTGGAAATAGTAAGGCAAGAAAGTTATGGGGAGGGAATATTAGAGAGTCAAATAGTATACAATAAGAAGAATTTGAGAGTAGTGACAGTGTACTGCAGAGAAATAAAAGAAGTTTTTGATGTATTCGAGGAGAAGATAGAAGAAACAGGAGAAGAGAGTTTGATTATAGGAGGAGACTTCAACGCAAGGACAGGTACAGAAGGAGGACCAATAAGGGATGAGATAAACAGAAGGAGATCAAGGGACATGGTGATAAACAAAAAAGGAAGAGAGATGCTGGCAAGAATAGAAGAGAAAGGATGAGTGATAATGAACGGGAGTAAAGGAGAGGAAAGCGAACTATGGACATATATAGGAGGAAAGGGAGCGTCAGTAATAGATTACGTAGTGGCAAACGAGAGGGCGGAGGAGGACATCCAAGGAGTGAGAATCGGAGACAGAACGGAATCGGATCATTTACCGATAGAGGTGACAATTCAAGGGCCAACAGTAGGAGGAAGAGAAGAGGATGAGGAAAAGGAGGCAGTGGTCAAATGTGATTGGTCACAGGAGGGGATAGAATTCTACCGCAAGGAAATCGAGGGCTGGAGGCATAATGAGACAGGAAAGGAGGCGCTATGGCAGGAGATAAGGAACAAGATAAATAAGTCCACAAAGAAGATAAAGGTGAAGAAAGGAAGAGGCTTAGGAAAAAAGAGATGGTTTAACGCAGAATGGAAGGAAAGGAAAAGGTCACTAAGGAAGGAATTAAGAAAATGGAGGAAAGGAAAGTTGTCTAGGGAAGAGTATGTAAAGGAGAAGAAGGAATATAAGAGGTGGTGTGAAGAAGAAAAGAAGAGACAAGAAAAGGAGGAAGAAGAGAAAATAGAAAAAATTAAGACAGAGACGGAGGCCTGGAGATACATTAATAAGTTTAGGAAGAAGAGGAACAGATTGCAGAGCACAACTGACATAAAAGAGTGGAAAAGACATTTTATGGATATGCTAGAAGGAACAGAAAAAAGACGGGCATGGAACCGAGAAGAAAAGAGGAAGAAGAAGTGGAGGAGGAGGAGAAGGAGAAGGAGGAGGAGATTGAAAGGAGTAATGGAGGGATAGACAGGGCAGAGGTGAAAGCACAGGTGAAAAAGTTAAAAAGAGGGAAAGCAGCAGGAGAGGACGGGATCAACAACGAAGCGTGGATATATATGAAGGAAGAGATAGAAGAGCCTTTAATCAAAGTTTTGGAGAAAGTGTGGGAAGAAAAAAGCATGCCAGAAGATTGGAAGAAGGGGGTTATATACCCAATATTTAAGAAAGGAGACACTAAGGAGGTCAAAAATTATAGAGGAGTTACACTGTTGGATACGAGCTACAAGATATACGCAAGTATACTAAATGAGAATCTGAAAGAGGAAATGAAAGAGAAATATGAGGAGACACAGTTTGGATTTAGGAAAGGTAGAGGGACAAGCGACGCTATATACTTGTTGAACTTCATGGTACATAGAGAGCTGAGGAAACCAAGAGGGAAAGTGTTTGCGTTCTTCGCGGATCTCAAGTCGGCGTTTGACAAGGTGGACCGAGAAATTTTAAACAAGAGAATGAAGAAGACAGGGATAAGCAACAGGCTAAGAAACAGAATAATGGAGATTTATAAAGAAACGAAGAATACAATTAGAATAGGAAAGGAAGAAAGTGAGATCTTTTGGACGGAAAAAGGAGTCAGACAAGGATGTCCCATAAGCCCAACGCTGTTCAACATCTATATAGGGGATCTAGAAGAGGAGATGAGAAGAGGACAGATCGGGGGAATAAAGGTAAACAGAGAAAAAGTTTGGTCCCTAATGTATGCAGATGACATCGTTTTGTTGGCAGAAACGGAAGGAGAGCTGAAAGACATGATAAAAAGGTTTAGAAAATACCTGGAAAGAAAGAAATTAACACTGAGCGCAGAAAAATCGAAGGTGATGGTATTCGAAAAAGGAAGAGGAAAGAAGAAGGAGAGGAGCTGGACGTGGAGGGAGGAAAAGATTGAGGAAGTGAAAGAGATAAAGTATTTAGGATACATTTTACAGAAGAATGGAGGGCCAGAAAAACAGATAAGAGAAGGTTACAGGAAAGCTATGGTGGCGATGAAAAACACATGGAGCATAGGAGAGATAATTTTCAACAAAGACTTTGGAAGAAGAATGAAAATGTTTAACGCATTAGTGAACAGCGTAGCATTATATGGGGCAGAGGTGTGGGGTTGGTACAGAGACGAAAGGATGGATAGGATACAGAGAAAGTACGTGAAATGGATTCTGGGTCTGGAGAAAGTAACACCCAATCATATTCTGGAGGATGAATGTAAATTGATAAATATAAGTCTGAGAGGTATAAAGAGCGGTAAGATATGAGGAAAAAGCTAGAACTTCCGACAAGAAGATAATTAAAGACTGCATGATAGAGATGGATAAAAGGATCGGAGAAGGAGAAGTCAGCAGATGGGAGAGAAAGAGAAGGGAGACACTGGATTGGGCTGGAATAAGTGAGCGAGAATTGAAGAAAATAAGGGAAGAGGAGAATGGAGAAACAGCAGAGGAGAAGATTGGGAAGGGCATAATGGAAAGAACAGAGGAAGAGAGAACTAAGAGAATAGAAAAATCAAGGTACAACGAGTTATATAAGGAAATCAGAGGAGACACGATCCCAAAATACTTAGAGGACAGGAGAAAGGCAAAGGATAGGAGTGTGATAGCAAGATTTAGGACAGGGAATGAGATGAATGCGAGACTACATTGGATGAAACAGGAAGATAAGATGTGCAGGATATGCGGAGAAAAAGAGGAAAAGGTAGAACATGTTATATATGAATGCGTGGAGACAATAAGTATAAGACAGAACTTATTTGACGAGGAAGGAAAAAGATTAGAACAAATGAAGGAAATAGTAGAAAGAAGAAAAGAGGTAGAGAGACGAAGGGAAGAGAAGGCAAGGGGGGAAGATTAATAGGCATAAGGAAGATATATAGAGATATATAGAGCAGAATAATATAAAGGGCAGCGCAAAAAGAAAAGCAAAAACTATAATATTTAGGCTATATTGAGATGTATATTTATATTATATTATGTTTATGTTTATGTTTATGTTTACGTTTATATCTATATCGAGATTGTGATTTTGATTTTGATTTGAATTTTAATTTAACTGTTAAGGTAATAATGCAAAGAACAAAGAATTTAGAAATAGAAATCGAATGTAAACTGAAAGCCATCCTAAGCCGAAAGGCAAGGATTAATAAATACAATAATAATAAAATATTTATTTTATTTTATTCATTTATTTTATTTATTTATTTATTATATATTTTTCTCAATTTCATCCGAATTACTTTTTCTCATGAAGGATATTGCGAAAGAACCTGATATTCTACAGGCAATGTTGTTACGTGCAGCTCTTGTTTAGCTGGGTGCTTGGCACGTATTTTCTTTTTTATTTATCGCGAAATTTTGTTGTGTTTGACTGGGATCTAAATGATATACACTACTCGTAATTTTTAAGACTTTATTCTTGCACGTGCTAACCTTTTCGAGCGTCGAGAGGCTTCTGCCCGTCGGTACCCGTACGTGTATAGGGAGGGGGCCGTGTGCCCCGATGGTGCCTCTGGCGGCGATCGCATGTAACTAATTCAAACTAAAGAAATTTGGCCAACGGCCTGAACAAATGTCTTTGGGAAGAACAAAATTAACACACATTATTAACAATGTGCCGTCAAGAAACACATCGAATTAGTGAAGTATTGAGAGAAAACAAATTCTCAATTTACGAAGATGAAACATCTGACATAACAAACGATAAATGGCTCTCATTAATGGTTCGTTATGTTGAACCAAAAACGTTACATGTCAGATGTGAATTATTACAAATGATTCATTTGAATGCGACGGATTGTTCTGCCAATAAGATCTTTCAATCGTTTGAGAACGAATTATTGAAAAAGAATATTTCTCTTCGGTTGATCGTTGGTCTTAGTTGCGATAATGCTTCTGTAATGATAGGCAAAACGTCCTCTTTTAAAACAAAATTGATAGAAAAAAGTCCGAATCTTGTAACACTTCCATGTGTATGCCACTCTTCAGCATTAGCAGCAAAAGCGGCCTGCGAAATAATTCCTCAAGATTGTGAGCATTTTATTAAAGGCATTTCCACATTTATCAACAGTAGTCCAAAAAGAACAGCTATTTTCCGAGATTTTCAGATGTGCTTCGAAGATCAATCTTTGAGCACTTTGAAGTATGCAGAAACACGTTGGTTAACGCGTCACAAGTGCATTCAGAGAATCTTGGAAATATGGGAATTTTAGGCAACTTTTTAATGGAACAAGCGTCTGAGAATGTTCGTCCTGCGCATAACTTGCTGTCCATTTTTCAAAATCCTTCGACGAAAGCTTATCTCTTCTTTCTTGAATTTGCACTTGATACGTTCAACAAATACAATGCAAAGTTTCAGACAAGAAAGTCCATTATTCACGAGCTGCAGCTTTCCTCAACCGAATTGCTACTTTGGTTTCTTAGAAAATTTATGAAGCCTGCTTTATTAAAAACTGGAGTGTTTGGTCATATTGTTAGGACCGTGAACTTTTTTGATCGTGCCAATCATCTTCTTTTAGAGGAAACTGATTTTGGTTTTGGATGCAAAGAATATTTACAAGAGCAAATAAATCAGAAAATTTTACCTAAAATAGACGTCGATTTTATTCGAGAAAATTGTTTGCAATTTTATATAAAAGCATGTGAACAAATTCGTGATCGTGTTCCAATCGACGATAACTTTTTACATTGTGTTGCAGTTTTCGATAACAAAACTGCATTGTTTGAGTGTGATCGAGAGTCAACGGTTTTTAGAGTACTGCAGGTTAATCGCAGATTGGGAAAATTAGTCAATGAAGATGAAGTGCGAAATGAATGGAAATCTTTTAATGAAGTCGATCTACCTACAAAAGCCGACTGGTCTAAATTATCCTTCGATGATATGTGGAAACAAATCGGTTTGTATTTACTTAATTATATTTATTCTACTAATTGCATTTATTCTGTTGTATTGCATAGAAATATATATATTGCATATATTGCAAGCGAATAGGAAAATTCGACGGCCGAACATGTGCGAGCGGCGAACGTTTTCGTGATCGCTCAGTGCTGTTCGTAGCCTGCCCCCACGCACGAAGCTACACATACACTCTATGACGTAGCGACTACGTCTGTGTTAGTAAGTCCCGCGGTAAGTGGTGGGGGCTCCCATTTCCCACGAACTGGCAGCTCTGCACACGGTCCCTGCTTATAGTGCGAAACAAGGCCCACCCACACAATAATTGGTTTGGGTTAGGTTATATCTTTCGGAAGTGGAGCCTCCCCAGGGGGGCGGAACCCATTGTGTCCACGCATACACTTTCCCATCCATACAACAATTGGTTTGGGTTTGGTTACTGTAAGAAGAATGTAGGCTGTAAGAAGAATGTAAACAAAGTACCGATCGAATGATATTGGCATTGTATCGTGATTTCGTATTGTACAAAACGGAAACTTTAATGCTTTGTAATTTTTGAACAGATCGTGACTGTCACTTTTTTTAAGATCAAGGTCACTTAGGACGATTGACAACATATGTCAAGGTCAAGGTCATATGTGAGGTTGCCTTTTTTCTGTATAATTATCAAATTGTAATCTTAATAATTCCATATCTCGAAAACTAAAGCAATGCTTTATAAGACCTATATAATTTCTTGTTCAGCGTTAAAAGTACTACTAGAAACCATCGTCAAATCAAGGGGCCGGAGAAATCGTAATCTTCCCGTTTTGTCGATATTTCAATTAATAACAATTTAATAATATTAACAAATAATAATAACAAATTGATTAGATAATGATGTAAACGGAAAATAATATATTAATTAATATTTATTGATATATGTTGGAAATAACGATCCTAGAGTGCTCGTAGTTGTACTGTAGTATTAAGTTGGTACTAGTGGCGTCTCTAGTACCGTCCACATTATTATGTTTTTCTTACGTTGGCGAAAGTGCCTTCTTCCGTTGCGCCTGTTCGTCTCCTCGACACGAGTCACGCGAGCTAAATCTTTACAAGTTCATTTTATACTTTTATACTTATATACTTTTATAATAAACGCTGCGAAACCGGTTAATCCAAGAAACTGAATAGTGTACAGTTACTACCACCCGCATCGCACAATTCCATCAGGTTATGGGCCCAGGACTTGTTTTCGTACTGCACGTCGTGTAAAGGAAAAGTGAACAAGTTCGAATCAAGATGGCCACAGCACATGGGATCCACAGTATCGACAAGCTAACTGAAGAGAACTATGAATCATGGAAGATTCAAATGAGAAGCGTACTGGTATGTAACGATTTATGGGATTACGCGAATGGTGCCGAGATAATGACTGAGAAAAATGCAGCGGCCTGGACAGTGAAAGACCAGAAGGCGCTGGCATTAATAGTGTTATCTCGATATTATGTAGTTTAAAAAAAATGTTTTAGACAAAAGTTGTATAGTTTCAAGGGGGACATAAGACGGTGGCAATGATTTGACCTTGGATAGTTGTTTGAAGGTCACGTAAAGATCACTTTCAATTTCTTAAATGGAACTCCCTATTTTTCTTTACATATTCCTGTAGCTTTCATCGAGAGCTTTCCAAAACACTATAATTAAGTATTTTTTATTATGTATTTTTCGAGTTATTTTATATCAAAGTATGTCAAAATAAGATATAAAATAACTCGAAATTATAGTGTTTTGGAAAGCTCTCAAAGTAAGCTATAAGAATATGCAATGAAAAATAGGGAGTTCCACTTATGAAATTGAAGGTGACCTTCACGTGACCTTCAAACGACTATCTAAAGTCAAATCATTGCCACTATCTTATGTCCCCCTTGAAATCAATGAATTCAACCTTCGTCTGAAATTTTTTTCTAAGGGTACGTAATATTGAGATATTTGACTGCCAAAAATAAAATGAGACACCCTGCATATTTTTGTCGTGTATATACAGGATGTCCCATTTTAATTATGCACCCCGATTAACATCGCAGAAAGTGGTCGGATGAAAAAATGTTTTAGACAAAAGTTGTTGCGTTTTGAGAGGGCCACATGATAAAAATATGGACTTGACCTTGAGTGACCTTTTCAAGGTGAGGTCAATGTGATCAATGTTCTTTTAAATGGAACACCCCATTTTTTATTGCATATTCTTGTAGCTTATCTCGAGAGCAGTACTTAATGAAAAAATACTTTATTATAGTGTTTTGAAAAGTTCTCGAGATAAGCTACAAAAACATGCAATAAAAAATAGGGGGTTCCATTTAAGAAAACATCGAACACATTGACCTCATCTTGAAAAGATTACTCAAAGTCAAGTCCATATTTTTATCACGTGGCCCCCTCAAAACCCAACAACTTTTGTCTAAAACATTTTTTCATCCGACCACTTTCTGCGATGTTAATCGGGGTACACAATTAAAATGGGACACCCTGTATATAGACCTCAGACTTTGTCGCAGAGGTCCTGAATCACCCTGTATATATATTGTTGCATCCCTGGATTATGCCCGTCTCCGAGAGATCGTATCTAAGCGCGTTGCCGGGGAGTTTATTGTTAAAACAACGGCGGACATCTTGAGAGTGATCGGCCATCTTGAGAATCTGGTGACGGATGTCAATCCGCGCGGACGTGTTTAAGATTATTAACGATATTCTCTGTTCTCTATTTCTGTGAATAGTTATATAGTTCTGTTTTATTAAAGTTCTTGTTCTTTCATAACTAAGAGTTATTATTTGCGACGCGGAGTGTGAGTGCCGGTTGTGTCTTGCGTGATTCGATTTATCTCGATTTCAATCCGCGGACGCAACATTTTGTCGCAGAGATCCCGAATCACCCTGTATATATAAATACAGGGTGTTAGAAAAGTCTGGAAACGGTCAAATATCTCGTAAACAATGCATTTTAGAAAAAAATGTTTCAGACAAAAGTTGTATGGTTTCGAGGAGGACATAAGGTGGTGTCATTAATTTGACCTTAAATAGTTGCTTGAAGGTCACGTAAAGGTCCTCGAAACCATACAACTTTTGTCTGAAACATTTTTTTCTAAAATGCATTGTTTACGAGATATTTGACCGTTTCCAGACTTTTCTAACACTCTGTATTTATATACATATACAGGGTGATTCGGGACCTCTGCGACAAACTCTGAGAAACGATAGATCTCGCAGAGAGGACCATTTTCTGTGAAGCAACCCATGTTCTCTGACGCATCGCTTAGGAGCTAGGCGACTGCGCAGACAAATCTTAGGTGACATTTATTACAATTACGAGATAAATTATTTATTTATTATTTCAAGTACATTTGCAAACAGTTTACAGAAGGAGTTTAAAATATCTACTCTGAACCTGATTGCATTCTTTGGCATTCATTGCTTCTGTGCCTCTCAAATCATTGGTTTGCCTCGCATTATTATTAATACATTGCATTATTGTTATGTTACCATAATATTGCAATGTTACTGAGGGTGGGCATTTTAATGTTGCTGCAATGCTGTGACAACATTGCAGCAACATTTCACAATATACAAAGTGTCGTCTGAAGAACATAACATCTGCGTTGTGTATAAATAATAAAGTTCTTGTTAAACTTTTGAAATCGGCACACACACAATCTTATTAAAGAAAACCTTATCACTATGAAATATCTTATAAAATATTGATTTTTCAAATATTTACAATAAAGGTTCTGAGATAATTAAAATAACGAAAGGAAAAACGGGCTAATTATGAACTTAGCGCGGTAGGCAATGCGCAAATTGTTCTTGATAATCAATTTCTTTTTTTTTGTTCCAATAAAAAATTTTTTCAACGGGCACGTGCGCGGGTGCGTACGTGCGGTGGTTGGGGGTGCGCGTGTGCGTGTGTATGTGAAATATATATGACATAGAATATATACATATAAATGCAATGAGATTTAATATTACAGGTTCATAAGTGATAACCGTAATTACAATTAACCGGGAAGAAACCAGTTAATTGTAATTATGTAATATAATTATTAATTATTGTCTCTCTTTATGGTATAAGACATTTTATTTCCGAAAAAAATTGTTTTAGATAACGTAAAGAAATAAAAAGAAAATTGATCAAATTACCTTTACTCCATATGCTCCGATAATAGCAGCATGGTAATCATTGGGATCAGAATTTATTATTATAGTCATACCAGTCTCGAACCCGCAGGCAGCAGATCGTTTCATACTTTAACAAGAAAAAAACTATGTTAATCGGAAAATATGTGCAATATTACACATATACACACATGATGATTATATTTAAATACATTAAACATAGGACTGTATTAATTAATGTTTGTATAACTTAATGTTCGTAGGTTTTATACATTTTTATTCTGATACATATTAAAATGAATAAAAATTGTGTTTTTGTCTATTTTAATATTTTTATTGCAAATTATTAAATTGTAAAAATGAATCTTCGTTTTGCTCTTTTATTTTCGGGTTCCACAACCTTTTTTTATATGTATGTATGCGCGTGTGTTTGTATCTAGAAAAATATATGTACATGTATACTTGAACATATATACATATACAGGGTGTCCTAGACCACCCGTACACCCCTTTTTTCAAAAACTAAGCATTTTAGAGAAAAAAGTTTTCAACAAAAATTGTATGGTTTTGAGGGGAACATAAGATGGTGTCATTGGTTTGACCTTGGATGGCATCGTTAAGGTCAAGTCAAGGACACCTTTAATTTCTTAAATGGAATTCCCTATTTTTTATTGGTGCGGGAGGGGGAACCGTAGGCCCCCCTTGCACTTCCCCGTGTGTGTTACATGGTTTTTCAATCGGGACCGTTGTCAATATAAACGTGATTAATCGGGACCGTGGTCAATATTAACGTGGTCAATTTACTACACATAAATAAATGAATCTGCTAAAAATAATTTTCAAGACATATATTTTCAACTTTCATGTGTACATACACATTGATGTTAGCAGGTCGCGGAAATATTGCTTTGTGTTTACATTTGAATACCTTCCCTCAATGTTTATACTATTTCATGTTCATTTTTTATTATTTCTGTATACACGTAGACGGAACACGAACATAACATATCTATATCCTGTGAACATAATTATTGCGCGCGCATACACACACACACACACACAGGACATTTCAAAATCTCTGAACAATATTTAATAGCATATGCTAGAGATAAAATAAAAGTAAAATTTTTAATGCAAAAATATAGAGTCTACAATAGTTTTTACGTTATAAGTAATATAAAGTCTGCCAATGATATCGCGTAGAACTCGTGCTCTCAGGCCTGTAACTATTCTTATGGCGGCCACACACGTTCTGGTAGACCTGCACAGGTCTGCCGGATGCCGCAGTGTACCCACACGCTCCGATAAATCTGTCAGTATTTGGTTGACCATGGCATCGACAGACGACATTTTAGCGGTAGTCGGCTTATTATTAGCAATAAAAAAGTCAAATTTAGTAAAACTCTCGAAGTTGAGCTTATACGCCGATGACCTTGATCTTGACATATGTTGTCAAGGACCTGTTGTCATGATCCTGAGTAACTTTTCCTTATAACTTAACCGGCGGTCTTTTATAATTTCTGAGATATTTGAAGGTTAAATTTGATTCGAAACAAAAATTTGGTTTGGGTTATATGATGTAACCCAAACTAAATTTTAGTTTTAAATCAGAAATTGGTTTGGTTTAGGTTATATTTTCCGGAAGTGGAGCCCCCCCGTAGGGGGGGGGGGGCGGAACCCACTTTGTGCATGCATATACTTTACAAAGCAAAGCGAATAGGTTTTATAATTTTTGTGGCAAATCGGAGGTGATGATGCTAATGTAAAAATTTATTGAAACGGGTATATTTTCAAACTTTATTTGTTAATAACTTTTTAATAAACAATGACCACCCATTAAGTTATAAGGAAAAGTTACTTAGGATCATGTCCTTGATAACATATGTCAAGGTCAAGGTCATCGGCGTATAGGCCCAACTTCGAGAGTTTTACCAAAAAAAAGATTGAAAAGACTCAGATAGCACAAAAGTTCGAAAGACATCGTAACGACATCCCACGTTGCTACACACGCTCGGGTTTGCCTGCACAGGCATATCGAATGATTTTTCGTATTTGCACCGGTCGCCTGCATAGGTCAAAATAACGGCGCAGTTTTATCATCCACACGCTCCGGTAGGCCTACACTGGTCTGCCTGCGCAGGTATACCTGACAGGTCGACCGGAACGTGTGTGGCCGCCATAACACGCATGTCATTTCTTACTCATTTTTACAAGACAGATAATAAATAAATGAATTGTCACAAATACTTCTTTCTCTCTCTCTCTCCCCTCTTCCCTTCCCTCCTCTCTCTCTCTCTCTCTCTCTCTCTCTCTCTCTCTCTGTGATCAAAACAAAAATGAATTTTGTTTCTTAAATATGTGAAAATATTAGGTTTATAAATCTATTTAAATGTGTAATAATTTTTTAATTAAGCATTTAAATTGTGCGTGTATAATTATTATTTAAGAAAGAATAAAATATTTTGCATTTTGACTGAAGGGTGGATTCAAGGTAGGAAGCACGAATCAAGCATCCATCTCTTCCGTGGCAACGGCACTGTCGTATCTGTGTAGGGCATTTACACACTCTTCCAGCCCGACAAATAATTGTTAGAAAACAACATTTGCGGATCAAAAAAATATGCGAGGTACAAGTGGTTGAATCGGGAATCGAACCCGAGTCTTTCTCGCTTTCCGGGCAACTGCTCTTACCATTGAGCTATTCAGACCTCACACCTTATGCCACTTTAATACAGTTTATACGATTCCAGAGCGACGTTGGAATCTCGCTCAATGGATGCAGTGCCGACCGCCACGGAGAGACGACATGCCCAGCACGTCTCCAGAGCAAAAGTTATATGGTCCAGCTACCAGGTTGGTCGCTCACGAGAAAATGCGAAGTCTTTATGGATGATTTCTCGAGTAGCCCATCCTAAACTACTACGCCTAACATTTACAATTTGTTAATATTAACTAACCATCATACATAATATCCACGCACATAGAAAACGACAAAATCAACTATGCAGTAAAAATCAATATCAGATTTTGTAGTAAGTGTAATTACGGATCTGAGCGCGGGAAGTTCTGCACGATATCATTAGCAAACTTCGATCGCTCATAACTTAACAATTTTACTGTAGCCTTGATATTTTTATATTAAAATATTTTTAACTCTATTTTATTTTTCTAAAGTACATTATTAAAGTATTGTGTGGAAGTTGTGAGACAGCCTAAACTGAATAACAAAACTGAATAATCTAGGTAATATTGCATCAAGAGACGCAATAGTGTTTTGGGCCAAGTATACTGTGGAATAATTAAGTTTCGAGACTTTCGTATACAAAATTTATTTTTAATCGTACAAATCTTAGACAGTTAAAAAGTTTCAATGTAGTTACCATCTAACTCGACACACTTAGTCTAATGTCTCCGCCATTGCTCAAAGCAGCTCTGATAGTCCTCTGAAGCAAGCCCTTTCAAAATTTGATTCACGTTTCTTTTTATGTCATCTGTATCTTCGAAACATTACTCTTATGCATAGCTGATTCTCCGTAGGCTTGTTAAATCATTTTTAACGTTTCTGTTGGCGACTTCTCTAATTTAACGCAAAATTTAATGTTAGCGCGTTATTCAAGCATTCCTTCTATTACACCGATTTTTAAACAAAATTTTGTAACATAACTTCGCATAACTGTATCTCATTAACTATTGAACCAAATAATTTAGAACTTGCACCACGTATTGAGTATTGAGTTGTGAATAACTCCCAAAGATAGCAGCACAAATGGACCAAATGTTCGGAAATGCGAAACAAGTCTCGAAATTTAATTGTATTACAGTGTATATCTTTCAACATTTACTATAGAGACAGCGATGAAGATAAACGAGGCGTGTTCGGAAAGTAAAATTACAAAGGTCCCAAAATTTTTAAAAAATATTTATTTACACATCTTTAACTTTAAGAATTACTTACATATATCTTTATTTTTCGACATAGTTACCGCCATGATCCAAGCACTTATTAAGTTTAAGGAACTAGTTATTTCCGAGTCATATAGAGGTCTGCAATCTTTTGAACCACATCATGACTTCTTCTTTCACTTCATCAAACTTTTTTCCGGCGAACTTTTTCTCTTCAGATGAAAAAAATAATTAAAAATCACTGGGCGCGAAATCCAGGCTATACAGCAGATGATCAGCTGCAAAACGGCCTATCGTTCTTTAAGCTGGCATACTGCTGGCATACTGTTAATTTGCAGTTATGTCATCTCTCCGTGGCGGTCGGCACTGCATCCATTGAGCGAGATTCCAACATCGCTCTGGAGTCGTATAAAACTGTGCTAAAAGTGGCATAAGGTGTGAGGTCTGAATAGCTCAGTGATAAGAGCAGTTGCCTGGAAAGCGAAAGAATCGGGTTCGATTCCCGATTCAGCCACTTGTACCTCGCATATTTTTTCAAATCCGCAAATGTTGTTTTCTAACAATTATTTGTCGGGCTGAGGAAGTGTGTAAATGCCCTACACCTACACAGATACGACAGTGCCGCTGCCACGGAAGAGATGAATGCTTGGTTCGTGCCTCCCCCCTACCGCCTTAAATCGCCCCCCCCTTACTTTATCATAGACATCAATGCGAACTACTCAAGCAAAGTAATTTATTTTTATACTGACAAAAGGAAGCGCGAGAATCAAGGTCAAATAGCCACCACCGTCAAAAAAAGTAAAGATATATAGGCCTATCGGCCTAGATACAATGTATATTTACTTTTTGGATGTCTCATTAATAAGAACATGAAGTTTTCTAAGTGCAATAATATCATAACGACACAGAGATAAATGCGCTTGATATACAGGATGTTTCACAACCTTCGTACAATATTTTAATAATGTATTCTAGAGATAAAATAGAGTCAAAAATCCTAATACAAAAATGTTGAGACTGTAATAGTTTTTGAGTTATAAGCCAGTAAAGTTTGCCAATGATATCGCGTAGAACTCGCGCGTTCAGATCCGTAACTACACATACGTGCGTATGGATTTGTCATTTGTTATCGATTTTACAAATCAAGTGATATTGATTTTTACTGCACAGCTGATTTTATTATTTTTTATGTGTGTGGGTATTATATATAGTGGTCAGCTAATATTAATAAACTATAAATGTTATACATGAAATATTTAATTCTTTTTTAAAGAACATAATTTAATTGGGGTTGATCAATTATTACATTTAAATAGAATTATAAATCTAATATTTTCACACATTTAAAAAATGAGATTTACTTTTGATTTGATGAGATAAATATTTGTGGAAATCAATTTATTTAATAATAATAATAATAATAATAATAATCGTTTTATTTTGTTTTATTGTTTCAATTTATTTATTACTTATCTTGTAATAATCAATAAGAGATGACAGATCGATACATGTGTGTAAGACTAGTTACGATCCAAAGCACGGATTCTGCGCAATATTATTGGCAAACTATGATCATTTATAACTCAAAAACTATTGCCTCGATATTTTCGTTTTAGGATTTTTCACTCCATTTTGTCTCTAGAATACGCTGTTAAAATATTGTACAGAAGTCATGAGACACTATGTATATTAGATATTAATATGTAACATTGCACCATTTTCACACCGTTTTCGTACTGTTTTTGCATTGTTTTCGTACCATTTCCGCACAGTTTCCACATGTTTCTACACTTCTATCCACTTCTGCATCGCTTTTATATCGTTTTTGCAATATTTTCACACCATTGCTTTCATATCACTTTTGTACCGTATTTCACATTATTTTCACATTTTTTCCGCACCATTTATTTGCATGCTTATTATAATATCAAGGTGGTACGATATTAATGTGAGTAAAAGTAAGTGTGAAAGAAAATCAAAGTTGTCATGCGAAAACTTCGCTCCTGACACAACTATGGTTTTCTTCCATATCTACTTTTACTCACACTAATGTCATATCACGATCCTATTATACATATATTCTTTTATTTTGTGTTTTCAATTTTTTTATCTTTTAAGTCTTATCTGTTTTAAGTCTTGTTGGGCATGTAAATATAGATTGCAATAATGATGTATTTATTTAAACAAAACGTTTAAATTAGAATGTTCTTTATAAAATTCATTTTGTTTACAAAATTTATTTTGTTAAGTTAGAATAACTAAAGCGCATTTTTTTCTAAAATTATGCAAGAGCTTTTGAAATGATTATAATTGCAGTTATCGCTTATCAGTCATTCCACTTGGCACATGTGTAAAATAACACAATAAAGTTATAGTAACAAAGTAACTGTGAATTTTTTATTGAAATCAGTAGCAACCCAACAAGGCTTAAGTTCTTTTATAAGTCTTAAAGCATCATGCCTACATCAATGTGAAATTTGATTTTGTAAAAATTTATACTTCTCCGGTATCGTATCTGGAAAAGTGTAAGAATTAAAACTGCAGCACAAGCCATCCCGCGATAAAGTTTGCTTGAAATATGTGTCACATTGATTAACTGTGCCCTTCCACTTGCATGTACTCAATAGGGTACTGCAGTTTTGCGTAATCTGGAAAACAAATAACAACGATTAGTTTTTTTAGAACAATTTTGGAAGATAAAATGCAATGTATAAACTATAAAGATTGTCTTAATTTATAATAATTTTATAAAATTATTAATTTAGTAAACTAAATATATGTGTGAGATAAAACGTAAATTTTACAAAACTTTCTTTACACATTTGCATCATCTTTGGAAAGTTTATATTGATTCTTAATAGATGGCATTAAAACATTTTTTGATTTATAAAGGTCATTGAGGGAGAATGAGCAAAGCATGCGCATGATATATATCGTCAGTTTTTCGTTTATTGATTTAGTGGTTATCGTAGTGTGCACTATTATTAAATTTTTTGTTCTCAAAAATATTAATACGCGTCAATTGGTATATATTTTGAGGTTTGTAATATTAACATACATATTTGTATTATTAATAAAAATTCCAACATTTCGGATCCACAAGAAAGGAGAGGGTTGCCCCTTACATGTATTCAAGAGTTTTGCGGCAAAACATTTTTCAAATCATGATCAAATTGGATGTCAAGTAATATTTATGGATAGTTCTATGGAAAATTCGGCGTTGGACATAGAAAAAGATACACCAAGGAAACGAGTATATAATCTTTAATGAGCGGAGATTCTTCAACGAGCAGAAACCCCGTCATTAATTGTGCAAAAGCAAATACGACGTCACCTGTTGATTCAAGCAAGATGAAGAGAAGGACATAAAAATATTATAAAGAAACAAACAGAAATATATATTTCAATTCAGACGTGCATTGCGGAAAAGATAAATTTGACGCCAACAACTTTACACGTCCAAAACAGTGTTAGTACTGAGCATAATAACACAGGCTTTTTGACTCAAAAGACTGCGGTTTAAGACGGATCGCAGTCTTTTTAAAACTTTGTCTTTTTAAAACGATCGAAATTTGAAGATTCACTAAATCTAAAATCAGCATTAGATATCGCTAGAATCTCATTTGTCATGGGAATCAAATTTCAGGAAGTACAATTTATATCAAGGTTTTGTTGAAAAATTGTCTTCTCTTCTGGTTTGGAGACTAATAAAATGATTAAAAATAGTATATGTTATAGATACGTGTAATTAACGTTTAAACATAGTTTGGGAGTTAATCAATGTACGTAGCAATAAATGGCGCTAAGCGTCTTATTATATACCAATATACGATCAGCACATTTTGTATCCATAATCAGTATTGTAAAGCATTTAGGTTAATAAACATCTTATTAGATATAAACATTTAGTCATAGCCTTTATTAACATAATATGGTGTCAGAAGTCAGGAAATAAAGAAAGTACAATATGGAATCACACTCATTCAACCACAACCGTTTATATCCGGAGTTAATCCAAAGCATGGGCAAAGTGGCGTGCACGTTTCGAAATATATTTAACAACCACAAAAATGGACAGCAAACCAGTAAAACGTCAACGTGTATTATTACTTTATAGCATTGGAGAGGAAGGCTTAGATTTGTATGAGATATTCACGTTTACGCAAGAAAATGACCAACTAACAGTACAGGTTATATTGAACAAATTTGATGAGCATTTTAAGCCCTATATCAACGAAATATACCATTTATTTTAATTTCATTCATGTGTGCTACAAACACAACAAACTATCGATGATTTTGTCTTAGAACTGAAAAAGAAAGTAAAGAATTGTGATTATGGTACACATCAGATTGTCTGGTACGTGACAGATTGGTAGTAGGAATTCAAGACGAAGCACTACAGAAACGTTTACTAAGGGAAATGAAATTAATGCTTTAGCAGCTATAGACATGTGCAGAGTAGCAGAACAATCAAAACAACAAGCTTTAGTAATGTCAACTCAGAACAATGAACTACAGGTCAACAAATTGTGGCAGATTAAACAAACAACAAAAATACAGCAGAAAAAACTCAAATAAAAGAAGAAAATAACAATTCGCAAGTAAAGTTCAAGTGCACTAACTATGGATTGCAACATCAACTACGTAAATGTCCAGCGTATGGAAAAAGCTGCAACTATTGTCAAAAGTTAAAACATTTTGCTAAAATGTGCCGTACAAGAGCCAGGAGTGTTCAACAAGTCAAACAAATAAGCTCAAGCTCAGATGAGGATAATGTTTCACACAGTTTAAACACAGTTCGTGTATTAAGTATAGGCATGTCACGTTTGCGTGGTTTCAACCAGTACAAATTTTGGGAGCAAGTGTACAAGTTAAACTAGACACAGGAGCAGATGCTAATATATTGCCAATAGCAACAGTAGGCAAGTATAAAATATCGTGCACTTTAGTTAAAATAAAGGACATATTGAAAATGTATATGGGTGATCAAACTATTCCAATACTGGGCAAACTAACCATTAAGTGTAGAACAGATGAAGCCGAACATACTCTCACGTTTTATGTAACAGATTCTAAGGGCTATCGCACACAAATTGACATAGCTGCATATACATAGCATAAGACCGTCTGGACCAATGAGCATGTTATGTAAATCAATATGGCGATTTTATGTTCGATGCTCATTGGTCCAGACAGTCTTATGCTATGCATATGCAGCTATGTCAATTTGTGTGCGATAGCCCTAACACAGAACCCATATTAGGATTACCAACATATGTAAAGCTCGGATTAATACAACATATAGATGGCAAGTCAAATGTAAACAAAGACGTTTATGTATCCTTTATTCGTCCCCTTAGGGTTTGAAGGCGTTTTTCCGGAACGTACCCAAACCTTTACATTTTCTTACAGCTCCTCTATCTTTCATCCTTTACCCGACCTGGCCCTATGCGACCTTGCATACTTTTCTCCCTCCCCTTCCTCGTCCCACCCTCTCCCTCCCACTCCCCCTCTCCCCGCCTTCCCTTCTCTCCCCCCTATCTTCCTTCTTCTCTCTCTTCTCTCCTTCCCGTCCCTCCTTCTCTTTCCGTTTCCTTTCTCTTATTCCTCTCGCTTCACCCTCCATCTCTCCTTCCTCTCGTCCCATATCCATTCTCTTCCATCTATCCAGATCCTTCTGTTACCCACCACCACGCTTCTTCCGTACCCTCTTTCCATCTTCGCTTTTTCTACCATCCTCCATCTCATTCTTCTCTCCTCCATCGTTAAATCCTCGTCCACGCCTATCTTCCACAGTCTCCTTATCTCACTCCCTTTCTCCAATATCTCGTCCTTGTCCTCTTTTTTATCCATTTCCACTATTAATACCTTTTTCCCCCCTCCCCTATTCTTTCCACTATCCCTCTCATTCTTACCCTTCTCCCCAATACCTCCTCCATTACCTCTACTATAACTTCCCTTCTCTCCTCCGGCTCTTTCTTCCTCTCTCCTTTCATCCTTTTTCTCTACAATTTCTTTTTTACTGCCTGTCTCTTCTGATTCCTCTCTCCTTTCATCCTTTTTCACTACAATTTCCTCCTTCACTGCTCCCCTTGCTCCCCCTATCCCCCTCTTCGCTCTTCTTCTCTGATCCTTCGCCTCCTCTCTCCTTTCTTTTCCTTCCTCTTCTCTTTTCTCTTCTTGCGACCCCGTTGTTTCCTCTTCCTTTTCTCTCCTTTCTCTCGCTCTCTCTTCTCTCCACCATTTCAACTCTTTCCTTATTTCCCTTACCTCCACCACTAGCTCCTTCAACCACTTTTCCATGCCCCAGCCTTCTTATTTCTCTCCCTTTCTTTCTTTCCTCTCACTTTCCTCTTCCACCTTTATCTCCTTCCTTCTCTTTCCTTCCTATCCTATTCTGCTCTTCTCCCTCGCTTTCTTATCCCCTTTTTATTATGCACTACACTTCCGAATACCTCTAACCTCCGATCACAATCCTCCATATGCTTGCACCTTCCGCTCCCTCTATACCGACCTCCTCAGTTTTCAACCACGTCTCCTTATCTCACGCCCTCTACTTTACCCACACCTTCCGTCCTCCTTATCGATCCATTCTCCGTCCGCTCAATCTATCCACACCTTCCATCTTCCTTACCGATCCGTTCTTTATCTGCTCCATCTCCCTGCTTTCTTATCATCAACTCTCACGTGCTCTATTCCTGTTCTCCGCCTAACCTCCAAACTCTCCATCTTCCTTCCTTCCCTTTTGTGGCCCTTCCCTCACGCCCTTTCATGTATCTCTGCTCCCCCTTGTTCCTCTCATTTCGCCCTTTTTCGACCCATCTCTACCTTTCTTCCTCTCTCCTTACACTCCTCTCCTCCTTTCCCTCTTCACGAGCACATTTTCCCCATGTTCACTCTATCCTACCGGAAACGGCCAAAGACAGTTTATCATTTGAGCAAATTGCGTCAATGTGAAGCTCGTCCTTCAATGTTTTTCAATATAAAGATGTATTTACTGGAATAGGGAAAATGCCAGGTTAATTCATCATTTACATAGATGGGAATGTAATGCCAGTAGCAGTGTATCCTCGACGTATTCCAGAAACACTAATACCAAAAGTAAAAAGAGAATTGTAGTGGCTTTTAGAAAATGACATCATTGCTGAAGTAAAAACACCAACTAACTGGATTAATCCTATAGTAATAGTACCTAAGAAAGATGGACAAATTAAAATATGCCTAGATATAGATTACTTAAACAAAGCAATCAAAAGAAAAATACATTACTTGCCAACACTAGATGAAATATTATAAAAGGTAAAAGGAAATTAATTCATTACATTGTTAAATGGATGTAAAGGATTTTACATGATACAACTCGAGGAAGAGAGCTCTTATTTGTGCACTTTTGCGACCCCATTTAGAATATTCAGATTCAAAAGACTTCCATTTGGAGTAAAATGCGGACTGGGAATATTTCAAGCAGCAATGGAACAAGTATTTAAAGATATGGAGTATGTTAGTCCTTTCCAAGATGACATACTGATTTGTGGAAAAAATGAAAAAGAACATGCAGAACGCCTCAATGAAACGCTACAATGAGCAAGGTAAAACAATGTAAAACTAAACATAGACAAAGCAAAAGTAGCTATGAGTGAACTCA